ATTCACTGAGCGCCAACTCTGGGTCTGCTCACAGATGTGGGGGTCGCAGAGGCAGGGGCAGTCCTGCATTCTGGGGGAGCAGGGGCCCCACCAAGGCAGCAAACGCACAATCAGCCATGTTGGACCACAGTACGCCCAAGGAAGCAGTGATTCAGGGCTGGGGGTCACCGCTGTGTGCTCCGCTCCCGGCGCCTGGTCCCTGCCTCAGCCTGGGGGTTGCTGTGCAATCGGGACGCGGAAGAATCACATTTCAGACACACGACGGATGACCGTGCAGTAGAGGCGCGGCCCAGATTTGCGCAGGAGTCCTGTGGTGTCATCGAGAGATCTGAACGCCCCATCCTGCCTGGCCTGACCGGTCAGCAACTAACCCACCTCCAGCCCCTGGGCTGACGGGGAGGGAGCCGCCGTGGGGCTCTGCTGGGCCCCAAGGGGCCCCCCCTCTGCCCCCAGAGAACCTGGGGGTCCCCTTGCTCAGTGGGGTCCAGACCTCAGTCTCCTTCTCAGGCCAGATCAGCCTCAAACCAGAAGACCCCGAGGGTCCCACCCTGCATCTTACAGATGAGGAAACTGAGGCCAACAAGTGGAAGGGCCCTGCCCGGCTGTGCGCGGCCACCGGAGGCAGGGCCGAGCCCAGAGCCCGTGTCCCAACGCCGCGCTGCCCTCCTCGGCTTCCCCTCAAGCCCCGTGCCGCTGGGCGCTGGGACCTTGTGCTTGGAGGGAGTTTTCTCAAGCGTCCTTTTGGGTTTTTTTGTTTAATTGCGGTAAAATGCACATGGCATGAAGTGCGCGAGGTTCACATTTGTGAGTGCGCGGTCCGTGGCGCTAAGCACGTGGGCATCGGGTGCCGCCATCGCCACCACCGTCTCCAGAGTGTTTCCGCCTTGCCGGCCCCCGGCCGTCCCCCCAAACACTGGCTCCCCGGCCTCCCAGCCCCCGGCACCCACCGTCCCACTGTCTGTCCCCTCTAGGGACCTCCCGTGCGTAGAGTCACCCGGCGTCTGTCCTTTTGTGTCTGGCCTACTTCACGTACAACGCCCCCAGGGTTCATCCGTGCTGTGGCGTGCGCCCGAGTCTCCTTCCCCGTGCGGCCGAGTGGTGTCCCGTTGCGTGTTTATCCCACATCTGCGCATCCGCTCGTCCCTGACGGTTGCGAGTGACGCTGCTGCACACCTGGCTGTGCGGGTGTCTTCAACAACCTGCTCTAGATCCTTTTGTGCACATGCTCAGAAGGGGAATTGCTGGATCACGTGGTAATTCGTGTTTCATTTTTTGAGGAACCGCCACCCCGTGTTCCACAGTGGCCACACCACCGTACATCCCCCCGACAGCGCGAGGGGTTTGGTTCCTCCACCCGCCACGCCCTCGCCAGCCCTGGCCTTGGCGGCCACCCTCATGGACTGGAGGTGGGGTCCCACTGGGGTTTGATTTCTCCCGTGATTAATGAACTTGGACATCTTTTCCTGTGCTTGTGGGCTATTTGTGTGCTCTTTGGAGAAATGTCTATTGGAGTCCTTTGCCCATATTTGAATTGGGCTGTTTGTTTTTATGTTGTTGGGTTTTAGGAGTTCTCTATGGACTCTTTGTGCCAATCCCTTGTCAGATGATTTGCGAATATTTTCTCCCTCTCTGTGAGTTGACTCACCCTGCTAATTATGTCCTTTGGGCCGGGTGAGGTGGCTCATGCCTGTAATCCCAGCACTCTGGGAGGCCAAGGCTGGAGGATCACTTGAGCTCAGGAGTTCGAGACCAGTGTGAGCAGGAGCGAGACCCCGTCTCTACTAAAAATAGGAAAAATCAGCCAGGCATGGTGGTGCTCACCTGTAGTCCCAGCTACTGGGGAGGCTGAGGCAGGAGGATGCTTGAGCCCAGAAGTTGGAGGTTGCTGTGAGCTATGATGACGCCACAGCACTCTAGCCCAAGTGACAGAGCAAGACTCTGTCCCAAAAAAAAAATGTCCTTTGATACACAGAAGGTTTTAATTTTTATGTAGTTCAATTTACCTATTTTTTTATTTTGTGACCTGGGCTTTTGGTGTCATACCCAAGAAATCATTGCCAAATTCAATGTCGTGAAGTTTTTATTTTATGCTTTCTTCTAGGAGTTTTATAGTGTGTGGGTCTCATGTTCAGGTCTTTGGCCCCCTGGGAGTGAATGTCTGTGGGTGTTAGGTGTGGCCCAGCGCCCGGCTTTCGCGAGTGGCGCCCAGTTTTCCCAGCAGCCTTCGCTAGGCACGGTTCCCCCAGTGAACGGCCTCGGGCCCCTGTGGAAGGCCACAGCCACGCGCCAGGGGCGTCTCTGGGCTCTCCATTCTGCTCTGCCGGTCTGCACGTCTGTGTTTGTGCAGGTGACAAGCGTCACTGTCACCGTGTGGTGAGCTCTGCAGTCGGGACGTGTGACACCTCCAACTGCACGCTTCTCTAACAAGATCCTTTGAGCTTCCATGTGAATTTTAGAACGGATTTTTCTATTTCCACAAAAGGCGTCATTGGGTTGTATTGAATCTGTGGGTAGCTTAGGGTAGTGTTGACACCATAACAATATTGAGTCTCGCGAGCCACGAACGTGGGATATCTCCCTGTGTCTCCCTGAGGCTCATGTCTCTCTGTCTCTGATCCTGTGTCTCTCTGTGTCGCAGGCGCCGTGGTCATCGCCTTCGTGGTCTGCTGGCTGCCCTACCACGTGCGGCGCCTCATGTTCTGCTACATTTCGGACGAGCAGTGGACTCCGTGAGTGCCGGGAGGCTGGGCCCTGGGGGAGAGCCCCAGAACTGGGGGGCTGGGGCCGTGGGGGCTGCTCAGGGCTGGAGCGGGGCCAGGGTTCGGTGGGTCCCCGCGGCCCCCTCAGGCATCCGTGAAGCTGGTGGGCAGTGGCTGTGCCCCGACGGGGCCCCAGGGAGGGCTGTGGAGGGACAGGTTGGGCAGGTGCTCTGTAGGACAAGCCGGAACTGGACAGGAAAATCGGTCCTGAGGGACTCGGCGCCCAAGGCAGCTTCCCTGAGGCCCGAAGAGAGACAGGGGGCGGCTCAACTAGGAGATGGGGGGGCTCTGCTCAGTCCGTGGCCGTTGTCGGGGCCCCAAGGCCACCCCAGGCTGGACTGTCAGGACTCAGCCTGGGGTCACGCTCAGGGCTACGACCTGCTACAGCAAAGGGCACACGGCAAAGTCCTCAAAGGGGAAAACACGTGGGGTGAAGTCGCGGGGAGACCAGATGCGGGTCCCAGAGCCCCTCCCAGGGGCATCTCACAGGATGGCTCGGGGGCTGGTCACGGGGGCACCCACTGTCCGCACGCACCCCAAGTCCAGGCTCCCAGCAGAGAGAGCAGGTGTTCACACCTGCCAGGGCTGCCAGATCCAGGTGACGGGTTCCCCACAGTGACAGGCAGCCAGAGAAGGCACAGGGAGCAGAGTGCAGCCTGAAAGAAAGGTTTCTGGAACTCGGGGCTGCCCCGTGGGGAACGGAGCCACCTGGCAGGAGAGCGGGGAGCAAGCTGGGATTGGGGCGCACGGCCGTCCCGGAGGCCAGGGCAGCTTGAGCCCTGGCTGCTCCTTTAGGCAGGGGACGAGCAAGCTCTTCACCCCCGATGCCCAGGACCCTAAGGACAGTCGGGTGGCTGCCGGGAGAGGCGGGGCCCGGCAGAGCAGGGAGGGAGCCGAAGGCTGGTGCCCACGAGGGGACGGCCAGAACTTCCAGCTCCTTGGGAGAAGCCAGAGCCCGGAATCCCTCATGAAATATCCGTGTAAAAACTTCTTTTAATTAGTGCCCCGGCCATCACCACCGGCCACCTTCGGCCTCAGCCGTCACTCTGGGGACCCTGCCTCGGGTCCCTGCGAGTCCTGCCCGGCCTGGCGGTGTCTGAGCGCCTCCCCTCCCCCGCCCAGGTTCCTCTACGACTTCTACCACTACTTCTACATGCTGACCAACGCGCTCTTCTACGTCAGCTCCACCGTCAACCCCATCCTGTACAACCTCGTCTCTGCCAACTTCCGCCAGGTCTTCCTGTCCACCCTGGCCTGCCTCTGTCCCCTGTGGCGGCGCAGGAGGAGGAGGCCGGCGCTCCCCAGGAAGGCCAACAGCGTGTCCAGCAACCACACCTTCTCCAGCAACACCACCCGGGAGACGCTGTACTAGGGCCTGCGGCCCCCGCACTCCGAGCAGCGAGCAGCGCCCGGCCTCAGTGGGGGTCCGCAAGAGGCCAGCTGGGTCCGTGGCCCGAGGCCTGGGACCCCACACCTCGCCCCGGAGGCCCCTTTCTCTCCCCATCCCCACCGGCCTCTCCCCACCCCCAGGCCTCCCTTTCCTCTTTGAAGCCAGAACGAGAGATTATTCCTCTCCCGGATCCAGAAAGGGCCTTTAACAAGGAGAAATTAGTGTTCGGCGACAGGCAGTTTCTTTGTTCCAGTCTAATGGATGTTTGGAGAGAAGAAAATGAAAGGCGCCGGTGGAGGCTGGGCCCCGGCGGCTCGGCGGCTGTCGCTGGCAGCGGCATCTCTGAGGACCTCGCTGTCCCGCTCCCCGGATGGACCAGGAGGGGGCTGTGGGGCCCCTGGGCTCCATCCCAGCCTCCACCGCCCCTGCCCGTCTCCAGGCTTTGGGCCTCGAACCCAAACCCTTCTGGGGCCAGCCAGCGTGCTGCCTCACCAGGGCAGTTCCAAGGGAGGCCCTGACTCCCCTTGAGGCCTGGCCGGGCTCGGGAACCACGGCTGGGGGCGGAGAATCCCTCCCAGCACTCTGGCCCCAGGCGGCCGTGGCCCACAGAGGGGTCAGGACCACATACCCGAGAAGAACACCCAGGGGCTGGCCTGGGATCACCTAGGCCCCAGCTCTCCACCCACCTGTCCTCGCCAGGCCAAGGCTGGGAGATCTGCAGGGACGCCATGCTGGGAGGCCCACATTCCTCTGAGCCTCAGCATCTCTGGCTCAGTAGAGGGAATTCTGGGTCGGCAGTGCTGGCCTCCCCCGCCTGCCCAGGTGGCCTTGGCCAGGACAGGTGAGCACCCCTGTGCTCTTCCTACAGTGCAGGCAGAGGTCTCAGCGGCTGCAGGGTGGTGCCCTGAGAAGGGCAGACACAGGCCACGGGTGGTGGCATCCAGGCCCCAAGCAAGACACCAGGTCCCGGGGACACGGGCCACAGGTAATAAGGGAGCTGTGCGTCCAGGCACCAGCTGGCTGGCAGCCCCAGGCCGAGGTAGACTCATCTGTCACCAGCCAGCAGGCAGCAGCCTGGGCCCCGGCGCCTGGAAAGGCGGCGCCTGCTTGGTCTCGAGGAGCCGTCTCCAAACAGGACGGGGCTGGCCGGGCTCCAGAGGTCGCCTGAGCCCAGGAGAAGCAGGTCCCGGGATGAGGCAGGGCCAGGAAGGAAGCTTGGGCCCTCGGAACACAGGTTTTTACTGCCTTGGACCAGCATCTGCCTAGAAGGGAAGTGGGCGCCAGGCGGCCTGCGTGGGCTCGGGACTCGGAGGCCTGGCCCGGAGGAGACTGGTCAGTTCACCACGAACCAGGGCCGGGCAGTCAGGCCCATGTGCTAAGCTTCCTAACGAACCTCCCCTCCCACAGGCGGGGTCATGAGGCCAGGCAGCGCCCCCAGGGCCAGAGGCCTGCCGACCCCAGGCGCACAGGCAGCGAGGGGGCTTCCTCCACCCCGAGCTCCCGCTCAGGGTCAGGGCAGTGGAGCTTCCCCCACCCGGCGGGCCCAGCTCAGCACAGCCTCACCCCTGCTCAGTGAGCCGCTCGGAGTTCACCTAACGCCAAGGCCCCTGGGGCTGGACGCGGGCTTCTGAGCAAGAGCTTGGATTCGGGGCCGGACAGTCCAGCCTCGACCCCTCTCCGGCGTCCCCAGGCCCTGGGCGGGCCACATTCCTCTGAGCCTCAATTTATTTCCCCATCGAAGAAGCAGGCGTGGCCACTGCACCCTTTCAGAGCACAGCTGTCCTGGAGGACCCAGGCCGGAGTGGGAGGAAGCGACTCCGGGATGGAGGCAGAGGCGACACCCCCCGAGCCCAGGCTGGTGCGGGGTCCACCAGCGGCGGGGGTGAGGGGTCTGTAGCTGTGACCCAAAGTCCACTTTTTGGTGTAGTGTTTATGTTCCCATCTGCACACTTGGTGTCAGCGGGGACACGTGTCCGCCACCCCAGCCGAACCGCTGTGACGCCCCACCCAGTAAGCCGAGCGCTTGCCCGTGTTGCGATGTAACCCCGGAAGCCACCGTGAGCTGTGAGCGTGGCGCCAGCGGAGTCTGGTGTCCCTACGACTGCCCAGCAGTGACGGCGCAGCCCCCAGCTCAGAAGGCCTCCGGTGACGCACCCGCCCTCCCCCTGCCACACCGCAGTCGACAAGAACAAACCCCCGAGTCTCTCAATAAAAGTGGCTGTGCACCCCTCACCGGCCCCTTGTGCCGAGAGCCTCCCTGCGCCCGGCCGGCCGCTCGCTCATTTGCTCGACGCGTGCCACGCAGCTGGCCCCACTGGGGGGGGGCCTTTACCAAAAACTCCTGGGCTTTGGTCGCGTCTCCCAAACGCTGGGGCCGGGACCCCCTGCTCACACCCTGCCCACCTGCCTAGTGCTTCCGGGAGCAGCAGAGGAGGAAGGGCCCTGGGAGCTCCCGGGAGCTCCGGCGGCACAGCCTGGTAACCACCAAAAGCCTGTGTGGGCAAGTCCCCGCCACGGCCCAGCCCGTGTCCTGATCTGTGAGCTGCCACAGAGGGGCACAGGGTCCCGTGAACACTCAGCTCTGGTCTCCACGCCCCCAGCCAGCCCGGGGTCCCGTGGCCCGGAGGCCAGTGGCCCAGTCCAGGCCCCAGTGGTGGACAGACGAGCGGACAGAAGACGCCCCGGCTGCAGCCCCCACCCCAGGGCTCCTGCACTTCAACTTGGGGGTTTCCAGACCATCTGAGAGCTTTGAAAATACAGATTCCCAGGCGCCTCCCAGCCCCACCGCGTCGGACTCTCCCCAGCCGGGGCTGGGGTCGCTCGGGCATTGCCCGGTGGGGCGGCTCCGGCCCTTTCTGGTGTATTCCTTTTAGGGCGGAGGCAGCTTTTCTCTTGCCTGCCTGACCCGAGAGCGCAGGAGGCCTGTTGCCCGTGAGCCTCCCGGGCGCTGGGCTCACCCTGTGGAGCTCAGCGAGGAAGCGTCCACATGGGCGGGAGCGGTGGACACGGGCACAGCCCACCCGCTGCTGCACCGGCTCAGCTCAGGGACGGCGGGGTCCTGGGAGGGTCCTCTCCGACCTGCGACTTGTCTCCGGGAAGCCCTGGATGCCGGAGGGAAGTGCAGAGGCAGGACGAGAGTGGGGAGAGCCGCCTGCCGTGGGCTCCACCTTCCCCTCGGCTGTGGCAGCCGCAGGGCCCACGGAGCCAGCACCAGGGTGTGGGGCCCCCGGGGGAGGTGCCCAGGGCACGACGCTGCCCCCGCCCGGGCTCTCTGCTCTTGTCTCCACCACGGAGCTGGGACCGTCTCTCTGCCGGGTCTCCAGAGTGAGGAGGACCAGGAAACGGAGCTCCAAGGGCATGTGCCTGCTGGGTGTCACCAGGAGCATGGGCCAAGCCACCACCTGGGGCTCACAGACACATGGTCCTTCGGTCACTTCTGTGGCCCCGGGGTCTGCCTGTAAGCCCATGGCCTCCCTGTGCTCGGGGACCACCGTCCCGTCAGCCCTCCCACGCTCCATGGTCACCCACCCTGCAAGCTCACTGGCTGAGGCGTCTCCACCTGCCGCACATGCCGAGGTGCTGGGGACGGCGGGACAGAGCTGCACTGGCTCCGGCCTAGCTGTGGGGCCTCAGGCAGGCCTGCCCCTCCCAGGGCCCTCTGCCCATGGCCGGCGGGACCCACAGGGTAGCAGCAGCTTCTCCCCTCACCTGATGAGCTGTGCCGGGTGAGAACGGCCCCTGGGCCCCCGACGCACCAGCGAGGGCTGGAGGAAACACAGGCAGAGCAAGGCCGCTGCCCGCGGGACTGGCAGGGCTGAGTGGCAGCAGGAGGGAGGGAACCAGGCAGGGGCCCTGTGGGACAGGGCGTGGGGTGCTGCACCCCCAAATCAAACATGTTCACCCTGCACAAGATCCCTGCATACACTCAAGCCCCAGACACGGAAGTTTCCACACCCGGGGCTCCCGGGTCCTCTCTCCGCCCCAGGGAGAGCACAGTGAGACGCTGGCTCGGGCACCCACGCCAGGGCGTCAGGCATGGTGGACACGGACACCAGGCAGCTGGCCAGGGGGCGGCCAAAGCGCAGCCAGCTCTGCAGGGGCCCCCGGCGCCCTGACGCGGGGCAGGCGGCGGAGCAGGGCTGGGAGGGCAGGTGGACGAGCCCCCGCCCCATCCCGGCCTCCACGCCGGTTCGCAGGCAGGAAACTGGCCGCCAGCAGTCCACCAATGGCTGTTTTTTAAACTCTGGCTACATTTTTTAAAATGAAATTTTTGGATTTAGACGACATAGTTCTCCTTAAAGTAAGAAACGAGCAAATGTAAGTATAGCCCTGATAACGTGTGGGCGCCGTGTGGCCCAGGCTCTGAGCCACGATTCATGGAAAGAAAACACAGACCAGCAAATCCCAGTCGCCTCCAGTCCCATTTCCAGGATGCCAAGGGCTCTGGTCATGCGACTCCTGGCCCAGCTGCCCTGGGATCCCAGAAAGGACAGGCTGGCTCGTGGGCGCCCAGCCCGGCTGCCGCCCCGTCTGCTTTCAGCGTCCAGGCTGCAGGGGCACCCTGGGCTCCCGCCCCTCAGGCGCTGGGAGGCTTTTGTTACCAGCTCAGGCTGCAGCGCAGCACCTGGGGCAGGTGGAGGCACACCTGGGGGCCAGTGCGGGGTGGGGGAAAAATGCTGAGATCCCTGTGGCCTGGGGGCACCCACCAAGGGGCAGAGCACCCGCATGTCTGGAGTTCCTGAGTCAGCCACGGGGGGAGACCAAGGGCCTTCCCCAGGGAAGCCCAGGCTCTGCCCTTACCAACACCCTGCAGGGCCACCACGGGCACCGCTGCAGACAGCCTCTTGCATCCTGTCTATTCAACATTTAGTGGGCACCCACTGTATGCAGGGCTTTGCAGCCAGAGCAGTTCAGCTCCCTCCACTCTGCAGCCCTCACAGGGTGTGGAGGTGGGGAGGCACCACCCCCCACGTGCCGAGTAG